GACTAACTACATTTGATCTTATGCCTGAAGCTTTATCAACAGAGCAATGGCCCGTGACTGGCATATGCACACATCACCAGCCAAATACGGGTTGGCGAACTGTACCGGCCTTTGACGTGAAATCCTGTTGCTTAGAAACAACGACACACTGTTGTTGAATACATTTGATTACTGTGTCTTGAAGAATGTATGCTAGGAAAGCTAGAGCTGTCCTTGTCTTATTGACCATTTGTTCTGATCTTCATGTCATGTGGTGTGACTCCCCAAACTACTTTTTACCTGAAAAACTATTTTTATTTTTTTTGATGTATACACTCACATTTATTCAATGTGTAAGGGAAAATACTTTTTTACTTGATACTGGGCACCACATGACATTTTTAGAGTTGAAAATATTACTGTAGTTTTCCAAAACCATATGAATCCAACGTGAATACAAAATAGTAAATTTGTTTTAAAGCAGATTTTTAAAAGATTTTTCCTTTTCCTATGTCGTTGACTAAAACACACGTGAGAGCTTGAATGAACTGCACAGATTTTTGTCCATAGTTCACCATAACTTAGATGCTACCGATCAGTCAATACAGACGCACTGATGTCACTATGGGGGTGTTTGTGCATTTCAGGTCAGCAGGTTCTTGGTTTGGTGGAGAATCAGAGTGATTGGTACCTGGGGAACCTGTGGAAGAACCATCGGCCATGGCCAGCGCTAGGCAGAGGCTTTAACACCGGTACGCCAGCCAGGTTTCTGATTATCTGGCTTATCTGAAGGGGAAGACCAGTTTTAAAACAAACACTAAAGTTCCTGATGAATTAAATCATGTTTTTGTGATTTTGAACTGGACAATGACATTATTTTATAAGTGTTAATTAGTGTAATGGCCAACAAATGATGATTTTTGATTTTGCAACAATGATTTTGAAGGTGTGATTCTGCTGTTGTTGGATCGATTGAGGAAGCTAAAGTGGGAGCAGATGTGGCGGCTGACGGCAGAGAGAGAGCTCATGAGCATGCTGTCTACATCACTCGCTGATCAGGTAAACACATAAGCTCTGTTTTAATCTGACCTGCTGTCTACTTAAGACAGGAGAACATAATGTATTGTGCAACTCACTAGAGACATTGGTATGATGAATGCATCATACAAATAGTATCTCATGAGAAGCACATGGGAGACTCTAGAGTTTGATGTTATAAAGTCGCTAAGCTAAACCTGAGATACCTACTAAACATATGGAACACAAACATTGGGTGAAATATATTTTAAATTAAAGGAACTTCATATCAAAATGACAGTTGACAATATTGTGCCTGCAGGACATCTTCAATGCTGTGATCAAGCAGAACCCATTCCTGGTGCACCAGCTGCCCTGCTTTTGGAATGTTCAGCTATCGGATCACACCCGCTCCGAAAAGTGCTACAAAGATGTGTCCGACCTCAAGGTGACATCATTGTGGAGACAAAAATGGGAGCTCGCACTTATGCTAGAAGACAAACAACAATTTCTTCTGTAGCTGCCCCGTATATGTATATGTGTGCTTAATATAGAATTGTTACTTCTGCATAAAGAAACGCAAGCAGTTCAGTTTGAGACAGAGGTCAAGCAGGGTCCACATTTCTGAACATCTTCATCTGATTGTGCAGGTGATTCACTGGAACTCTCCGAAGAAACTGCGTGTTAAGAACAAACATGTGGAGTTCTTCAGGAATCTCTATCTGACATTCCTGGAGTATGATGGGAATCTGCTGAGGCGAGAGCTCTTTGGCTGTCCCAGCGAAACGGACCACAACTCAGAGAATGTGAGTTTCACTTCACTGTGCTTCATGTGGGCAACTGCTGCTTTTATTGTTTCAGAGGTCTGCAATGATTTGTTTTGTTTTGTTCAGGCAGCATGATGAAATAACACTTGTTTTCTTAATATCCTTGCAGCTCCAAAAGACCCTGTCTGAGCTGGATGAAGATGACCCATGTTATGAGTTTCGTCGGGAGCGCTTCACAGTCCACCGCACACATGTCTATTTCCTGCACTATGAGTACGAACCAGCCTTGGATAACACTGACGTGACACTGGTGGCCCAGCTGTCTATGGACAGGTAAGAAAACACACTTACATTTACTTTATATAAAGACGCACATATCACATCACCAGCAGATATTTAATACATGATGCTAAATAGAGCCTTTTATAAGGCACATTAAATCAAGTTGATCAAAACTTCCTGGAGGATGATGTCATTTAAGAGCTTTCAAAGAAATATTTGGGTCCGTTTATACAAGCTAAGCTCAGTCGACAGCATTTGCAGCATAATGTTGATTAACAAAAAGTAATTTAATTTGTCCCTTGTTGTTTTTAAAGGAAAAAAAAAAGAAAAAACCTAGATTAGAGTGATACAGTTTGAATGTATGTGAATTGGGCCAATTGGAGGATTTAAAAGCAGAAATGAGAAGCTTATCATTTTATAAAAGCACTTGTAATAATTCTACATTTAAGACAAGTTTATTAAAGCGTGTTTATTAAAGTTTATTAAAGGGGTCATATGATGCTTTTTTAAAGATCACTATTTT